GAGGCAAATTTGCAACTCACGGCAAGGTTTCAAGGACCAGGGTTGGAATCCGGGAAATAATTTAATTTTTACGTTGATTTCAATCAAGGGGTAATCTGTTCATCAGCAGCGACAGGGTTCTACGTGGCGCGCCCATTTGGTGCAAATGGAAAGAGAGAACGCCGCAGACTCATTTTGCTTTGCTAGCGTTTTGTTCAAACGCGAAGACTTCATGTTTTTGGACAGTTGAGGTGGCTGTGGGAGGGAAATGGATGGGTTGAGTGCTCCAAAGACTATTTGGACAACTTGCGTTCTGCAGCAAGCACCCCAGCGAATGTCAGGGCCTCATTTTTTTGAACGTGCTCATTAAAACTTATTTGTTGCCAGAGCCAGTGCAGGAACCAAGCTCTGCGGATCCTTTTGCAGCTCCACATGATGACGTAAGTCGTGAACCACCGCGCAAACGCCCTCGCTGAGAATCCTAAAAAGCAGAGAGGGTGCTGATTTCGAGTTTGTGTTCAACTTGCAGTTCTGAGCTTGCTTGACTGAGCTGCAAACTAGCCGTCATCTTCATTTTTAAAGAACCCAACTTTTCTGTGCCAGTTGGGCAACGCCAATTCACATGGCGCCAGTCTTAGATGTTTGACAACATTTTTTGTGATGGTGCAGTGGGCGCAAGTTTGACTCTTGCCTAGGTGGAGCGAGACCCTTTCTGCGTTTCTGTGCTGCGCGCAAGACAGAGTGATGGAGCTCTACCCACATGCCCAATTTCGGAAGATGTCGTTGCATACCGACCCCAGGGCCCTGACCTTGCAGCCGATCTGGTGGTGGCTGGATTCCCTTGTCAGGCCTGACATGCATTCGCCAGCACAAGTTGAAAATCTTTTGATGGTTGCTCCTTTGCTGTTTGAAGTTTCGTGGAGGTCTTGATTTTTTCTGCAAAGATGTTGGGCCAAATTTGCAAGGGAATCGCATGACACTGCCTGTACAAAATGAGACCTTCAAATTAGTAATTTTCCGTTTGGTTTGGGGGGCGCCTTTTTGACCTATTTTTGGAGCCCTTTTTGGGCGCTAAAAAGTCGCCCTTTTTTAACCCCCAAAGCAGTACCAAACCAACGGGAAAATTACCACCTCAAATCTGTTGGTTTATGTGAAGTTTGCATATTTGGGAATAAACAATGTGGGGGCTGTGTCGGGCCAATGCTGTGCAAATTTGAAGCCATTCTGCACCCTAAGCTGGGCCATTTGGGGGCTATGTTGGGCTTGTCATATATTGGGGCTATGCGTGGCTTATGTTGGACTAAAAACGGCGTTCATGTGGCCCTATTTTTGAAGTCTCAGATGAACGCACGTTTGTTGGGCCCAAGCCCAAGTTGGGCCATTTGGGGGCTATGTTGGCCTAAGTTGGCCATGTGGTGGCTGTGTTACAGCCCAAGTTGGGCCATTTGGGGGCTAAGTTCCGCCTAAGTTGGGCCATTTGGTGGCCACAAGAAAAAATGTTGAAACAAGGCATTGTCTAGCCAAAGATGGCTTGGGTAGGGCTTTAACAAAACCTCCATGAAACCTTACGAGCTTTTTATTTGGCAGCCACATGTTTACCACGTCTCGGGTGCCCGCCCTTGGCTTTGGTTTGTGTGATATTTTGTTTGCTTGCTCAGCGTTCGATGTTGCCATGTGTGCCACTTGAGTTTGTCAAGGGTTTGTCATGTAAAACTCTCCGACGAAGTATGCAGCAACGGTTGGTCACTAAACAACACAAAAACTGATTAAATCAAAAACCGAACCGTAATCGAGAGTGGCAAAACTCAGCAACCATCTGGTTACTATAAACTGTTTCCAAATTAGCCTGGTTTTGTCCAGTAAATGTTGTGGAGAGCCCGTACAACGTGTGGACAAGGCAAGCAAGTACATCAGTTATAGTACGAGGACAAGAAGCAAGAAAGTAAAGCAATAGAGGAAATAAAGAATAGGGAATACCGTAGAGTAATGTAGAGTAGAAGAACAACAAAACAAAAGAAGAAAGAAAAGAAGCCGAACTGGGTTAACAAACATCACACAAAAAACCAAAGTATGATGCCTCGACCGCCCTGTGGCATGTGCAGTGTCTTTATTTGGCATAGTTTGCTTGCACATTTCTATGCTTGTTTGGGTTCTCACCTGCGGCCAGGGGGTCAGTTCTGCAGGGAACCAACTTGGACGCCGGGACGCCAGATCCAGACTGGTGGAGGAGCCATTCAAGACACACGATAGGCTTCCCCACTCGTCAGTGCCTGAGAAACAATGACCTGGGTGGAGTGTGCGGCTCATAATGCGCCCAGTGAGGCGAGCTATCCTCTTGGAAAATGTCGGTGCCCTTCTTTCTTGCCAAGAGATGACCAGGGGTTTGCTGGCTTTCATTTTCAAGGACGCCTGGAGTGATCTGGAGTGGGTCAAGCAGGGTCAAGCAACAGCTTGCAGGAGGCCCGGAAGAGAAACATGAAAGTGGTGTGGACAACGGTCCGCCTCAGCGAGGTTGGGCTGTCGGTCACAACCTTACTTGGGTTGTAAGTTTGATGCCAGAGATTCGGTTGATCTTTCAGCTCATGTCTTGAAATTGCTGCTGATTGCAAAGCCCACAAAGGCCAACCGCAAGAGAGTGTTTCTCCTTCTGATGGACCCTCTCTTCCAATTCCCGGACTGGGTGCTTTGTTGCTGTGACAGGCTTCTTGAACGATTTCTGTTCCAAACCTCGTTTCCTTGTCTAACTTGGTCACATAGAACCTTTTTGGGGATTCTGTGGCTATTGGCGGTTTCTTTGTTTCAATCTATGATGTGTTTTGCTGGCAGGATGGAATCAGCCTCATGACAGACGTGGACCTTGATGGTCCATGGAACCGGCATAGCCAAGTTCCAGTCCACCGATGGCTGCAGCATCAGGAATCTGAGGAAGATGCTCAGCGAGTGATGGCCATGGGCAACATCGTTGTCCCGGTCCAAGCCAGGAAGGCCATCAGCAATTTGTCAGAGATGCTGAAGCAAGTTTGAGGCTGATCAGGCGTAGCAACCTCGTGCTTTGCATGCAACAGATCATATTCTAGAAGTATAAGTACAATAACATTTGTAGCTTTTTGCAAGTTCCCGTGCTATGCCTGCGGCTCCAAGGCTTAATTCGCTTGAACAGCTGATTTCCCAGTGCAAATCTGGGTTGCCGTAAGATTTTATTGGGCATTGAATCTTCAATCAGATGTTGATAGCTTCATGCTGGCACAGCTCTCGCCTGGCTTTTGCTGGGCAGCCTTCTGTGCATCATCGTGGTCCGCGTGGCAATCTCCGCGTGGAGTCGGGGTCTCAAGGCTTCCACAAGATATGAACTGTGTTCACAAGTTGCCTTGGGCAGGTGCAACCAACCTTGGGTGCTTGAAGGGTAGCTTTTGAGGCCCTTCCTTCGTCGCTGTTTTCACTAAGAAATCTTATTCCAGCAAGTTGTCCCAGCTGGCTGTATGTCCTCGTTTTTTTCTCAAAAGCAAAGCTTTCATCACCAGCCAGGTGCGAGCTTTGTCTTGGCTGTCACTGATTTCGAAGGACTTGCTGAGTTTTGGTTTTTGCAGTCCATGTCCAATCTGCAGATTCACAGCATGATAAAAACGAGCTTTTAAAGTATCATCAGTCTTCAAGTTTAAGTTGTACAAATATGTCCAATCAAAAAGTAACATGTCCCACGTGCACTGTATATATTGCTCAGTCTAGCTTTGTCGAGCCGATGCTGAGAGGACAGCAAGCTGAACGGATTCTGAACGGATGGTGCTACTGCACAATGACATCGCCAGGCAAGTGAATGAAAAAGCAGATCTGCAGTGCCACTGGCAGGATGTTTGCACAACTGGTTGACACGTGCCAATTCTGCGCATTCTGTGCAGCTCTGTTTAGCTTAGGCACAGGAAGATGTGAAAGAACCCAGTACTCAGCATTCTCAAACCTAAAACCTAAACAAGGTTGACGTGAAATTCAGTTATTCGGTGTGCCAACTCACCCAAACCACAGCGTTGCAGCTATGGTGCTGCCTGCAGATGGCTTGATTGTCAAAGGCCATTGGCTGGACTTGATACTATCTGGGGAGAAAAGTCTCGAGATACGGGGGCAAACAACGACCAAGAGAGGAACGGTGGGGCTCATCAAGTCAGGCACAGGTTTAGTTGTTGGGGAAGTTGACATCGTCAACACCTTCATCATTCGGCGAGCTGCCTTTGACTTGTACTTTTCAGGCCACATGGTGGATTCCAGCACCTTGGGAGAGTTGAATTACAAAGTCATTCATGCTTGGATGCTTACCAACCCTGTTCGCTATGCAGAGCCGATTCCATACAAGCACCCCCGCGGTGCAATCACATGGGTGGACTTGCGGCCCGAAGCCAAGACCAAGCAAGGATGTAGCACCAGCAGCAGCCGCAAACGGAAGAGACCCAGCGACAAGGACGCAGTGTTTGTCTAGAAAGTGCTAGAAAGCTTGTAAAAGATCAGTTTCTGCAGTGGCTTGCATTTTCTGCAAGGACTGACAGCTGGGTCCTAAGTTCATTCCTTACTTGGCTGTTTCCTTGAAGCAGGTCCCAACTGTTTTGCACATGTCCCATGAGGCCCAGCCTTCATTGCGCAGGCCTTTGCAGTGATGCAGCGTCAGGTGCCTCAGCGTTGGCAGTGAAAAATGCTGAGCTGGAAGATGTCTCGTGTATGGTATCGGTGGCCCTTGCTTGGTGCTTCAAAAGATGTTCTTTCTTGTTGATGCTGTAGCCGTCGGCTGATCGCCGCTTTCTTCCAGGAGTGTTGTTTTCAAGAGCACACGCTAAAGCTAACAGCTAGTAGTAGGATTTGAGCCCCGATTGGGGCCTAGACCCCCAACAGCCCAGATGACCACAGAGCCGCAAGCAACCTTGAACAATCCAAACAAACGAGTATCATTGCGGTTCAAAGCCATGGGTGACAGTACGTTTGCAGCCGTGAGCGCATTTAGCTCCGATGAATCGGAGGGCTTTGTTGCAAACTGTGAGATGCCGACTAGAAAGAGACAGAGAAAGGCGAGGCAAAAGTCATCAGGACAAGTTTCTCCGACCCCTGAATCCCTACGTGCTTTGCTAGGGAAACCAAAGTGTCACTGCAAGAATTCTTGTTTGCAGCAGTTCACTGGGAGCTGTGAGTTTGGAGAGCTCTTGCTGTTCCGACAGCAATGGTCAGAGATGCACAAGCTTGATCAGGATCACGAAGAAGCTGGTCCAATTCAACAAGTTTTTGTTGGGAGGGAAGAAGGAACAACGAAAGCTAGGTCTTTGATGTCGGAAACGACGAATAGAGGCATTTTTTGGCCCAGATAGGTCCAAGTTTGTGATAGCCAAGGCTTTTGAAGCCATTCGGAAAACAGTTCAGAGTGGAGAATCTGGGGGCAGGACCCAATGGTCATTTCTTGGTCGTGAGGTTTGCGTTGCGGCTTGGAAAAGGCTTCATGGTTTGGGTTGCTTGTCGAAGTTGAGCCAGAAGTTGAGTGAATGTAAAACAAATCCCAATGAAATTGTGCTTTCTTCGGGATTCGGTTTTTTAATTTGATTTTCTTGATTGGCACCAGGTCTTGTTTTGTTCCTGTGCCTTCCAGGCTCAAGAAGATTTGGCAAACTCATACAGGCTGCTCGTGCCAAAGAAACGCTGCCACTGGCAGACATGCGCTATTTGAAAAAAGGAACGCCATCCAAAGCTGAGAAAAAGGATGACACGAGCCGGGCGCGAGTCATAAGCTACTTGCAGGGGATCTATGATAGTGTTGCAGAGACCCTGCCCGATGTGCGGGATGACACGTGTGATACTGATCCTGTTGTGACGCTAGAAGTGCCGGAACTGGTGGATCCATACGTCAAAGCAATGAACGAGGCCGGAGGCTCTGATGAAGCAGCCCCAAGCTCTGTGGCGAAAAGAAAGGGTGACAAGAAAGTCCGCACACGAAAGTTTTCGATTCAGCTCCACACTGAGAGAAAGCATGCCCAGGAAGACCGGTACCTCCCACCAGGCCATATCAGAGACTTCTGGGAACAGATGAAATGCTCTGAGGCTTTGACTGGAAACGAAAAACCGGTCGCTTTCTCGACTTTCTGGCGCATTTGGAATCAGGAATATCCTTTCCTCAAGCTTCGCCCCACGTCATCGCACTCCCAATGCGGAACATGCATGCGACATAAAATGCTCATCAGAGGCCTCACTGGTCACATGAAAGCTCGTCAGGAGCAAATCAATCAATACATCAGCCATTTACAGTCGCAGTACCGTGACAGGATATGCTACTGGGAGCTCCGAGGAAAGAGCAGATTGAAGACCAATGATGTCCTGATCATTTTAGACGGCATGGACCAGCAGAAATTTGCTTACCCAAGAAGCCCATCGTTTTTGTCAAAAGAGCTTCAAGGCCTAAATCGTCCACGATCTCACATAAGTGGAGTGATCGTCCACGGACGGTTTATTTTGTTCACGGTGCCCCCAGCCAATGTGCCCAAAGATGCAAATTCGTGCATCGAAACTACTGCGCACTGCCTTCAGATCTTGTCCCAGGAGACCGACTTGAGCAAAATCACTTTGCATGCTCAAAGTGATAACACGAGCAGAGAGGTTAAAAACAACCATTACCTGAGATGGTTGGGGAGTTTGGTAACCCACCGTCTCTCATCTAATTGGCATTGCTTTTGCTTTATTTAACAGGATTCCCAATGATGATGCTGTGTGGTTATGTACTTGTGAATCGTTTTCATTTCCAGCCCACACATCTCAGGAGTTGTGGGTGCCGCTCGCCTCCGGCATTTGAGGAGCGGTCATAGTCATGAAGACGTTGACCAAACTTTTGGTCAATTAGCCGCTTATATCAGCAAGCATGGCCGCATAGCAAGTGGACCACATGACTTTCGAGACATCATTCAGCGGTGGATGGATTCAAGTTTGGACCGACCACATGAAACTGGAAGATACTCGATCCTCTTGGACCAGTGCCGGGATTGGTTCCTTGTTGTTGACGGCTGATTGGTGTTTCCTTAAAACTAACCCAATGTTCCCAGGTTTCTTGCACTCGAATGGGGTATAGGCTTCAGTTGAATCAGTGTGTCCGTTGGGAGTTCCTGTGCCGGCATGAGGCGGGCCTTCCTCCAACTTGGTGTGCCAGTTCAATTGAAGGGCATAGGAGGCCCCCGAGCCCCACACGTTTTTGAACTCGACAGACGCGAGAACTTAGGACCGGTTTCTTGTTTGCTGCTGCAATTTAGCTGCACGTGGTAACTTTCCATTTCAGTCGGCCCTTATTCCAAGTGGACCCCGGACCCCAGGAAGTTCCCCACAAACATGATTTTTTATGGGTTTTTTAATGACTTCCTGGGGTCAATTTGGGGAGGCCGACCCAAGTGGAAAATTGGCAGCTTCATGCTGTTGAGTATTGAGTTTGTGCCTTTATGTCAGGACAACTGGCAGCAGAAGCTTCGGATCCTTTCTGGCAACTGCAGCCTCATCCCAACGACGTTCTGATACGGAGCCAGAGTTGAACACATTCTTTGTTTTGAGAAGAAGTAAGAAGAATAACACAATCAAAGTTTGCGCCGTGTTTGTCAGTTCCCGCCCATGCGTGTCGTTCCCTGGCCAGGACCAAGCACAACATGGCAGATGAAAAGTACACCTATTTTGCTCTCTACTATCCGTTTGAGGTGGCCAGGGTTCGTTTGCCCCTAGGTCTCCCAGCAGGACCCAGCTTGGTATAGCCACAGAGTTGTGCACAACAGATTTTGCTTCAGTGCTTGCCCGCAGGTTTTGGGAGTTTGTTTTGCTCCCAAGTCCCCATGGATAGGACTTGCTTCTCTCAATCCGATTGGCGAGGACTTCAAGAAGGAGGTGTTCAAACATGTGCCAGCAATGAGGAGTTTGGGTTTGAACGCTGCTGCTGACTATTTGGTTGCTTGGGTCACTGGTGACATCGATTTGGAACCATTGCTGGACGTTAGAGCGATGCTTGACTGCAAAAGTTGGTTGAGCTTTGCTTACGACCTGGTTGTTGGTTCTTCCAAGCTTCGCTGTTTGCATTTCGTTTCATTCTCCTTGCAGCTCAGGGTGGCCTTGCGTCAGGGATGCCACGATCAGAGCGATGCGGTGGCCCAAGACTTGGAGCCCGTTCCTGCCCATCTTGGGTTGCGTGGCTTCAATCACGTTTGTGAATGGATTCAAGTTGTGGATTGATGGATTGATTTGGATGGTGGCAAGTCTGCATCAAGAACATTATTTGAGTGTACTGCTGTAGAGCCTGTGCCAAGGTAACAGAGGGTAAACATCAAGATGCTTCAATAGTATGACAGAAATCGATCTGCAAATTTGTAGTTTCCAGATCGATGTCTTTCATAGTAACTCATGGGATGGTTCGTCCATGGGCTTGGCTTCGCTGCAGGTTGTCGAAGCCACCAGGCGGCCGAGTGGTTGATGGCCAGGTGAGGCACTATGTTGGTTGCGCTCGGCAGCGGATTGCCTTGGAGGCTGCGGCGCGCGCATGGGCCCGAGGAGTTCCATGGGCCCAGGCCATGTCCATTTGTAACCGTGCGGTCAGCAAAGCTGACGCAGCAGCAAAAGCCCTTCCAAAGAGAAGGGCACGGTGAGTTCTCATACGATGGCAATGCTTCAACATTCAACACATTTCCCAGCCATGTCAATTCAGTAATTATGTCCAAAAATCACCAATAAAGTCTCTTTTTCCAAACACATTTGTTAATTTTCAAAAAAAATTGGGTGCGGCATTACGGTTTAGGGGGCTATTTTCAGGTGTTGACGGTTGGATGTGGCCCAAGAAGGTTATCTTCAGATTTTGATTTAGGGGATCAAGGGTCCAAAGCGACCTCACTTTGGACCCAAAAAATGCCATGCAGACCAAGGCATGCTCCAGCCATCTTGGTTGATTGTGTCGGATCTGATGGCAAATCCGACTCATTGGAGCCATCGCTTGAGCCGTGTGTGTCGGATCTGATGGCAAATCCGACTCATTGGAACCATTCTTGAGCCATTTGTTGTGTCGGATCTGATGTCAGATCCGACTCATTGAAACCATTGTTGAGCCATTTGTGTCGGATCTGATGTCAAATCCGTTTCCAGTCCAATGAAAAACAGTGTCTGCATGAAGTGATTGCGGATCCGACTCAAAGTCTGGGCAGTGCTGGGCAAGGATTTTGTGTCGGAAGTGAGGTCGCATCAGACTCAAATTAGGTATGCCACTTGGTAAGCTGTGTTTGGAATTTTCACGACACAGGTTGATGGTTTAACTTCTAAGACTATTTGAGTCTGAACCGACCTCACTTTAGACTCAATTTGGCATTCTGGAAAGAAACCCATTTTGTGTCTGATTTCTCGTGTGCAAACTACATTTTCATTCTGAGGCAATTTCATTGCGCTTAGATGTAGTGAACCTTGAGCCGCGCAGAGGTTTAAATTAAGAATGTGTCCCAAGTGTCCAATTTTCGTGCCTTCTTCAAGCTCCCAGTCTGTCCCAAAGTGTTGTGGGATTCTGCACATTGTGTCGCCAAGGTAGTCCTTCGTGGCTTCGTGATTGAATGTGGCCTTTTACCTGGCCACCCTTGTCAGGGCTTGGCCTGCCGGCCTACCAGCCATTAGCTTTGTGAAGGAACGTTGATGCGCAGCCCTGAATCTAGTTCAGCCTCTGCAAGTATTTGACTCATCCGGAATTCAACATGTTTCATGGGTATGTAAGCTAGTTGCTGAAGCTCCGGGCTTCGTCAAAGGGCTGCGCGCATTCTTGGATTCTCGCAGATCGAGCCATGGGTAAAAAATAGTGAACTTTGGGCTGGCAAGCTTTAACCAAACTTTGGAATGCAGCTTTCACACTTCTAAACACATCCTTGACACTTTGACTGCCTTGCAGCCAGCTTGACCGTCCAAGGGTAGGACAGGATTTTTCCATTTTTTCCATCATGAAACGGCGCGTTTCCACTGGGCGTGGAGGCAACGCAAAGGCTGCAAAGTCTTCAAGTGCTAAGGCCGTGGGTGATTCCGAGCAGTTGCCGCATGTCAGGCGCGTGACTGAGTGGCCCACAGACTGCAACTATATTTTTTGTTTTGTACTTGCTTTATCTTGCTTTTGGTTTTTCTTAGTGCCGTGAGTGAGTGCAATCAGAGCACCCATGTTCATCAGACCAAGGTTTCAGTCCATAGTTGTGCCTCAAGGTGGACCAGACCGATATCTCATGAACAAATACAAGACTCAGGAGGGCCCAGCCTTTTTGGTCACCTTGTGATCATGCCGTCTCTCATTAAATTATCACATTTCTTTTGTGCATCCGCCAGGCGGAGATGGTGAATTTTGCTCGCTGGCTAGATGAGACTTTCCCAGGTTCGAGCAGGCTAGATACATGCGCTTTCTGTTGCTTGGGAAATCTTGTTTTTTGAAATTTGGGCAGCGTGGCGCTGTTCAGGATCACCTACAGCGAGGACATGCAGCCAGGAGGCAAGACTCTGCGTGTTTGGCATTTGGGCTACCGGACAGATTTTGGCCTTCCCGGGTTCTCGGACCCGTTTGACATGTGCACTCTTATTGAGCTCGTGCTTGTTGAGGGGTTGCTTATTTGCAACTATGATCTCAAACGCCGGTTTGGGCATACATTGCACTGCCGGTTTGGGCATACATTGCACTGTGGGTGAGTCAAGTGCTTGGTTTCAAATTTGATTGGATGATGGACGGTCACTCAGGTTCAGAACCAATCCAGATGACCCTGGCACCGAGAAGCTGAGCATTTGGCCCCCAACAGACGACTGGCTTGAGAACAAGTACGTGAAGCTTCCGCACTTGGATGGTGCTGGTGAAGGTGTTGGCCCCAGGGAATATCAAGTGTGTTGTTTGATGCTGAGTATGATATTGCTGCTTGGCTTGGCTTCACTTTGATCCACTGATCAGACATGACAGGCTGCTATGCCCTTCCACCTTTCTCGATCGCGTATGTCAAAGGGTGGAGGAGAGCGCTTGCTTGTTTGATCTCATGTGAAGCAGTTCGATCGCTGGGATTGGATGTTTCCGAGTTGACTTTGAATTTCAAGGCGGGGCCAAGCATGTTGTTTTTTTGTGGTTCTCACTTTCACTGATTCTTCCCTTCGTTTGAGCTTTAACTGATTCTTCCCTTGGTTTGATTGTGGAACATGGAAGCCAACCAGCGCAGGCGTCGCTGAAAGTGATCCATGGGACCGTGGGCGCTTTCCAGAGCACCAAGGAAGCAGTGTGGGCATCACGCGGCACCTTGCCAAAAAATTATGCAGCTCCAGCTTCAGTCTCTTGACCACGGCAACGTGGCTGAACCAGCCAACCTGTAAGGCATTACCATGGCCCAAGTTGCCACCCGCAGATCTCCCAACGCTATGAACTTCCTTCGCCAACTGGAAGTGCTCAAGAAGAGTGGTGATGGCGGGGACTTTGAGGTGTTGTGGCTGAAGAGTGTTGATTTTGGTAGGTTTCCATTTGGGTTGGTTCACCAAAAAAGGCCCCCACAAGTCCCCTAAAAACAGTGTTTTCCCTGCGTTTTATAAAAGATTTTGGGACTTGTGGGGGCCTTTTTTGGGGGACCAACCCAACTGGATAATTAGCAGTTGATTTTGTCGTGGACATTTCTTCCACACCAAATCAAATGAAACAAGTCTACAAGATGCAGAAAGAGCGATTGTTTTTAAAAAAATGAGATCATGGAAACAAGCAGTGTTCCACACTTAGGATGTGCTGCTGCTAATGCCTAAATACCAAAAATGCATGATCACAAAAGTTTGGCAACCTTCCCGTACTTTATTGCCTTCACCTTCATGGTGTTGGTCGCCCGAGGATTGGCACAATGCCACCCAGGTAGCTCGTGCCTTCAAAATCGGCAAAAGTGAAGCGCTGGCAATCTCGAATTTGCAAGACAAAATCAACAAGCAGGTTGTCGTGCTGCTGAAGGAGGCAACCAGGTGTCGGGGAATGAGGCAGTTCATGAACCACGACCTTTTGTCGAAAGATCTCTTCAACGTTGGATTCAGCAGTGGCGAGACTGGGGCCTTGTCAGCGTGGCCTGTGGATCTTTCCAACAACCCGGACAACAACTTGGATTCTCGGTGAAACTCTTTTGAGTCTGCTTGGACAGGTTGTTTTGCTCAAGGGCTGTTTCAAATTGGCTCATGTTGCTGTTTTTACATGGCCGACCCAACAAACAACAAAGATTAAACGTTCGTTAGCAAATGGGGGAGCATTTGGGGAAGCGGCTGTTCTAGAACTTCTTTTGGACCTAAAAGCTTCAGATGTTCATTTTGTTTCCCAAGCATTGAGATGGAGAAAACATTAGATTCGTTCCACAAAAAAGTTTGGGTTGGTTGCTTTTGTTTTCTTACTATGCAAAAATGACACATAGCAGTTCCAAAGTACTGCGCATGATTCCAACATATTGCAATGCCAGCATCCAACTACGCAGGCAATTTTCCTTTTGAAATGTTGCAATGCCATGCAACATGAGACGTTTGGTCCCAACATGTTGCAAATATTTTGCAAGAGGCTGCAAGGGATGTTTTCCAAATGCTGCGAGTACCATGCGCGATGGCATGGCTTTGCTCCACAAAAAGGGTTTTGTCATCAACCAAGCAATCAGTTGTTATCGGCCTTCATCTATGTTGGGCTTATGTTGGGCCATTTGGAACTTATTATGTTGCCAACGCTGGGCCAAATTTGGAGGGGAATCATTTTCTCCAAAGAGCATACCTGCCCGTACAAAAATGACCCCCCCAAATCTGTCAGTTTATTGTGTGAAGTTTGCATATCTGGGAATAAGCCATGTTGGGGTCATGTTGGGCCAAGAATTACGCGTTAAAAACTGTCGCATTTTTGCGCCAAAAAATCGGTCTATGTTGGCCTATGTTGGGCCCAAGTTAAACCATTGGGTGGCTATGTTGTTCTTATTTTGGCAACAAAAAACAACGCTTAACAAACATGTACGCGGGGTTCTAAGCCCCATTGTCCACTTAGGACTTAGGAAGGCCCTATGATCAGTCCCAGACTCTGTGAGAGCCAACTTTAAGAACGGTCCCACAATCAGAACAACCTGGTGAGAAAGAAATTTCAATTTTACTAGTAGTACCACACAAGGCGGCGGCAAATGTTTCAAGAATAGGGGTTTCTTGAGTCGGCGAAAACACGGTGTTTCGCGACTTCTCTACCTTTTCGCGCCCTTGGCTCTTCCTTCTTTTGACTCTATTGTCTTTCTTCTAGCTCTCACTTCTTTTCTGTCTTTTCGCACTGCGCTGGCTGCATCTTTGCAAAAGTCGGAAGTTAGACTTCTAAACTTCCTTCGATAACAACATTTGAACTTAAAATCTCTTTTGCTCAGCGACAGGTGGCTTTGGTAGGGTTTCCAAAGACTTCTATGAAACCTTCAAAGCTTATTGTGATTTGCCCCATTTGCTAGCTTTTTGGGTGCCGTCGCGTCATTCTTTCCCCGCCATTTGGGCTGAAGATATTTTGGGTCAGGTTTCCCAAGTGTTGCTTGAATCAAATTACCACACATGGGCGCTGGGCTACATAAGAATCACTAGAGGTAAACATCATGCTCTGGGAATCTTCTACATGTCCGGCATGGCAACTACTAGATTTTTTTGAGTTCAAATGAACACATGTTATATAAACATGGACATGAAGTGGGTGAGTCCCTCCAACATGGTTTGGGCACAAAAGTTTTCAGTGAAACTCCAAGCAGCTGAGTTTCTGGTTCTGTCCCAGTTATATACTTGATTGCAATACTGAGGTGAGCCTGTTCATCGAACGGCTGAAGGCCGATTGGGACCGCTTGCCAATCGGCTTGAAAAGGCCATGGAACTACAAGGAAGCCTTGATGGTTCATGCCGCATGCGGAGGCTACTTGGCTATCATGTCTGCGCTCAGGGAGGCAGTGCCCCAAGCAGACTTTGAGGCGCACGAGCAGCAAATCCGTGACCAATTCAATCTCAGCTACTTGGACCCGGACATCATTCACTTCCTGGAGAACACGGTCCCCCCTGTCAACCTCCAGGAGGTGAACTTTGTCAGGACAGGTTCAAGTTTTGAATCCTAACTCGGCCCAACTTGTATGTCTCAGAAATGTAAAATACAATTTTACTGACCGGCGCATTCCTTGTGGCATGTGCATGTGGTTTGTGCGCTTGCGGATTTTGCAGGAACATCGTGTCCGCAGTTGCGCTTTGACACCAGCGAGAGACTGAGGAAACGGCACGTGCCCTTGCAGAAAAGGTTTCTGAAGCAACCGTGGAGCATCTCAAGCACAAGTTCGAGCAAGATATGAAGGTCTTAAGGGATCGCATGCCAAACCAGCAGACAGCTGCCAAGGAGGCTGCCATGGACGCAAAGTATTTGGCCAATCGGCAAGCGAACCTAGCTTGAAAGATTTGCAAGCACTTGGTTACACGTTTTGTTTTTTCTGGATTATAAATAGGCCAAACTTTCCTATTTTGTTTGGGGTTTGAAAACACAACCGACTTGCACACGACATGTTTTGCAACATCATTGTCTCCACAAGGCACGGGCAAGCCCACACAAAGGAGTTTATGGAGAAGAAGTGCAAGATCTTTGTGCTTCCGCCAGCAACGGACAGCAGAGCCACCCAACCGCCCATGTTCCCAGACATTGCTCAGTACATTTCCAAGGTGCAGACGGAGAATCAAGGTGGCCAAGTGTTTCCTGGTCTTTGAGGCTGTGTTCAACGTGTTCATTTTTGGTTTTTGAAGCTGTCTTCTTATTTTGTGCTTTGCTTTGACCATGCTGCTGCAACTTGTGAGAAAAGCGGGTCGGGGTTTAGCTAGCCAAGGTATGTCTTGGCACTGATGGATTGCTGCGTGTGGCCGAGCAATTCGGCATATTTGACTGCATGCACCCAGGCTTTCACTGCTTTGCTGGCTACATCGCCAAAGCACGCAGGACATCTTCAGATGCCTTTGCCCCAAGCGCAGACTCATCAATCCGCAGTTCTGAAGCATCGTCGAACTCTGGAAGACAGCATGGTCACAAATGGGCTTGACATCATGCGCCCCGTGTCTTTGATGTTTGACAAGTCGAACCTTTCTGCTGGAGACAAGCGTGAACCTTGGCATCCCTGCTTGCTTGTGACGGCCACAGCCCAGGACAACAATGCATGGCTGGACAGCTCTGCAGCGCAGAATCGGTCGATCGGGCCGTGTCCTCTCATCCGCGTTGCAGACATGCTCGGCTTTGACCCAGACTCACGACCTGGTGCCTCGCAAAGGACTGAGCAGTTTCTTGTCCCTCATTCATCAACTAGTTTTATGACAAACAATTGTAAAGAAAGTGCAAATCCCCAGAATGCAAAAACATTGCACCTGCAAAATGCAGCTGCGAAAGGGTCTTTGGGAATACCTTTTAAGAAATGCACCTGCTTGAATAGAATGAACACATATGCATATTCATTTGCCAATACATATGTATATGTATACATGTAAATGTGTAAATATGTATGCATATATATATAATTAGTATATATATATGTATATATATATATATATGTATATATATATAAGTATATATATATGTATATATATAAGTATATAGTTATATATTATATTATATTAAATTATATTATATTTTATCATATTATATAATATTATATTATATTATATTGTATTAGATAATACTATATTATATTATAGTAAATAATATTATATTATATTATATTATACTATATTATAATATAATATAATAAATTAATTTATATTAAATAATATAATATAATATTATATTATATTATATTTAATAATATTATATTATATTTTATTAAATAATATTATGTTATATTATATAATTTAATATAATATAATATTATATTATATTAAATAATATTATATTGGATTATATTAAGCAATATTAGGTTATATTATATTATCATATAATATAATATTATATTATATTATATTTTGTTATATTATATTATATAATATTTTATAATACATTACATTACATTATATTATATATATGTGCATATATGTCAATAGTGATAAAGACATATGTTATATTATATATATGTGTGCGTTGTACTTTCCTTATAATTTAGAGGTATATATATGTGCATATATGTCAATATTATATTATATTATATTACATTATATTATATACAGTATATGTGCATATATGTCATATAAGGGTTCTTCACGTGACCGTGAGCCCGAGGCTATGGGGATGATTGATTGACCCAATTTTGTCTACTTTCGATTGCAGGCTTGCAGCAGCTGCATTGCAGCTGCATTTTTTAATTGGCTTGGTTTGATGGTGCGTTGCAGGTGCATTTTGCAGGTGCATTTTTGAAACTTTTTTGGGAGACATCCAAATGAACAATCTCTATGGAAAAGCCCTTAAGATCAGGTTCCAAGTGGAGTGCAGCTGCATTGCAGCTGCATTTTTAGCTGGTAATTTGCAATTTTTTGAGTTTCCAAAGGATCTTCCAAAAATGCAGCTGCAATGCAGCTGCAATCCAATTTACTTACATGTTTGCATAAAATCAATGATTTTTAGCAAAAACACCTTTAAAACCCAATGCAGCTGCATTGCAGCTGCATTTTTAGCTGGTAATTTGCAATTTTTTGAGTTTCCAAGGGGTCTTCCAAAAATGCAGCTGCAATGCAGCTGCAATGCAGCTGCAATCCAATTTACCTGCATTTTTGCATAAAATCCATGGCTTTAGCAAAAGCACCTTTAAAATCCAGCCCCAAGTGGAATGCAGCTGCATTGCAGCTAGCTGCATTGCAGCTGCATTTTTAGCTGGTAATATTCATTTTTTTGAGTTTCCAAGGGGTCTTCCAAAAATGCAGCTGCAATGCAGCTGCAATGCAGCTGCAATCCAGTTTACCTGCATTTTTGCATAAAATCAATGATTTTAGCAAAAGCACCTTTAAAATCCAGCCCCAAGTGGAATGCAGCTGCATTGCAGCTGCATTTTTAGCTGGTAATTTGCATTTTTTTGAGTTTCCAAAGGGTCTTCCAAAAATGCAGCTGCAATGCAATTTACCTGCATTTTTGCATAAAATCAATGATTTTTAGCAAAGCACCTTGGAAATCGAGCCCCAAGTGAAGTGCAGCTGCATTGCAGCTGCATTTTTAGCAGGTAATTTGCATTTTTTTGAGTTTCCCAGGTGCCTTCCAAAAATGCAGCTGCAATGCAGCTGCAATCCAATTTACTTACATGTTTGCATAAAATCAATGATTTTTAGCAAAAACACCTTTAATATCCAATGCAGCTGCATTGCAGCTGCATTGCAGCTGCATTGCAGCTGCATTGCAGCTGCATTTTTAGCTGGTAATTTGCAATTTTTTGAGTTTCCAAGGGGTCTTCCAAAAATGCAGCTGCAATGTTCCAAAAATGCAGCTGCAATGCAGCTGCAATGTTCCCAAAATGCAGCTGCAATGCAGCTGCAGCCTCCCAAAATGCACCTGCGATGTTCCCAAAATGCACGCAATGCGCCTGCAGTGCACCTTTTTTGAAAAGAAAGAAACCAAGAGGATCTCTTTCTTGATGAATTTTGGGGAGGGCTTCACAAGTCAACAGTCCAGCTACTACTATAAAACTACAAAGTTACAAATGCTAAAAACATGTGTGTTTGATGTATAGGCAAGTAAGTGGCGTTCTAATAGGTAAGTGGGAATATGTTTGTTTGATACATGTCCGATGGATTTTGGCATTTTTTTAGAACACTTCAAATCACACTTTCACCTGGGAACACGCTTTCACCTGGGAACAAGTATAGTCACCAAATCATCAGAAAAGTGTCAGCAATGGTCCGGGCACATGGTCTATGAGGGGCCCTTTAGGACTCTAGACTCTAGACCCTATGACTTATGAATGGATTGGCAAGTGTAGCATTGAAAGCACCACTATTGTTTGTCCAAAAATCGACAACTCTTGTAGTTGAACGGGGTGGGCCCAGTGGGCTGTGCAATAGTGATTCAATCATGGGTTGTTCCATCTCTGGATCGCAGCGCTCAAAAAAATGTAAGACTGACCAACATAGGACTTTTTGGGTTAGGATCAAAAAGGCACCATGGCATCCCACTCAGTTTTGAGTCTGAGATCATCTTTATAAATAATTTGGAGTCTTGCAAGGTTGTACTGCATATGGCTGGGAACATCATGGTCTGGTAACCAGTCTGGTAATGTGTTTTTCTGTTTCTCCCCTCCACCCTCTTTCTCCCCACCTTGAGATCCAGGATTAAGAACAACGTGGGCGACATCTCACACATGTGCATTTTAAAATGACCCAGGAGAAACAGAGACAACAAGTGCATTTTGCAACTGCAAAAAAGTTGCATTTCTGAATATATCCAGGAACCCCCAGCTTCTGCTAATTGCATTTCATAAAACTAGTTGTTTTCAGGTCTTGCTGGCAGGTGGGGTAGTGGTTTGACTGTTATTGTTCAATCATCTTAGAAACCTCTTGCATTTGTCATTGGCTGTAAGGAAAGGGGTTCCTGCACATTCCGAAGTGATCACAGCCTACCTGCGCGGGATGCCTTTCCAGGAAAATGACCAGGTGGTGTTGGTTGACATTCTGCCCAACAGGCTGCTTACATTCTGAAACCTGTTCAAAGTCAGGTTTTGTCAACATAATAAATGTAACATGTGAGTGGTGCAACACATTTTTCAAACATATTTTGAACCTGCCATTCAACATAAATATAATGTGGTGCAACACATTTTTCAAACATATTTTGAACCTGGCATTCAACATAAATATAATGTGGTGCAGCACATTTTTAAAACATATTTTGAACCTGCCATCATAGGCAAGCAGAGTTTGCCAGAGCAGCTGTCAGCCGCATGCTGGACAACACAGCACGCCGTCCAGACATCCGGTACTGTGCGTTCTTCCGATCGGACCAAAAGGATGTCGTCCAAGCATTGGAGAGCATGGTCTACAAAGAGTGGGATTCCTCGGGAGCAGCTCCAGCCAGGACGCGCCCAGTGGACGCCTTGCCAGATCCAACATTGAGCTTGCTGACATGGAGCAACGGCCGTGCCACGTTTCCAGAAAGCATCTTTCAGAAATTCCCTGAAGGTTCGGCTGCATTCTCCCAGATACAGGAACTGAAGAAGGCGTTGGTTGCAGAGTTTCCTGATTCGGCTTCCGCTGGGCCTGGTCAATCAACTCAGCCCGGTTCTTCAGTTGGAAGGGCCAGAGCTTCAGGCAGGCCCGATTTCAGTATCGATGGGGGTCAACGACCTTTGGATTTCACACTGACGGTTGAGAAGGAGCACGTGCCAGTGAGCTCTTTCACGGTTCAGAGGACTGGTGTTTTTTTGCAACCCACCACATTCCTGATCTACTTTTGGGTGTCTGACTCATTTTGGAAAAGGTGCTGGGAAATTCTCCGTAACAAGTAAAAAAATGTTATTCATATTAATGTACTGAATATATCAGCCGGTTGACCACACCTGGTCATGGCAGGAAAGCCTACTGCGCTGGGACCCGCGCCAAACCAGCAATCGTCGTGGCTGCTGACCTGTCTGTATGGCTGGGCAACGAGACCAATGAGGAGATTTCTTTGACCGCTTGCGAGCTGTGCGGCTTCAACCTTGGATCTTTCGAGGAGAAAGTTGTGGCCGGTCCCTTTTCTGATCAAGGTAGGTGGCTCTTTTTTAATTTTGAACTTTACATGTTTTCATTTGGCGTTCCCCTGTAGTTTGTTATTTTGGTCATGGTGCAGTCTATTGTCTTCAGGTTTGGGGGAGACTGAGCTTTCTGGAATCTGTTTCCGATTTGCCTCAGACCTCGTGCTTGTTTCCAGCGAGCGCCAGTTGACCAGCTTGGCCGAGTTTGCCCACAAATGCTGCACAGTGCAAGGGATTGCCAACTTTGAACTGGCAAACCACGAGATCCAGCAGAAGATGTACCCACCAGTTGCTTGGCACATGATGCTGATCTCTTGTCCAAGCCTCATTCTTTTTAATGGGTCGCATCCCTGCTTGTCTCGAGGCATCCGAGTCAGAAGAAGCTGTGCCAGTCCCCTACCGCTTCAGTCTGGCGCCTGCCCGCAATGGAAAGTGCAATGTCTTCCGACCAAATGCCTTGAGCAATGCCGAAGCTGCAAGGCCAGCGGTCAATGTAATGTTGGTCCTTCGTTTAAGTTGAAATTTCTGAATGGTTCTGGTATGCAAAAGTTTATTGGCATATATACCCGTTTTGCGGCTTTGTGCAACTCTTGTTTTTTGTGTTACCTCTGTCGATACTTTGAAGGCACGCCACCATTGGAGCAGCCTTCGTTGGCCACTTTGACAAAATCCCGAAGAATGATGTTGCCACCGTTGTCTGGGAAGTGACTGGGCAAGCCCTATTTTTAGCGGTTCGGGAAGCAAGCAAGCCATTGAAACAACTTGCTTCGATTACAGTTTCTTGTAGGACATTTGCGAGTGAGTTGCAAACAAACATACCAAGAGCTTACAAACTTCAAGCATGAGGTTTTGATGTTAGACCATTGTCATTGTTATTCACGCCGCTCCGTGGCAGGGTCCGCCCGCACCCAGGGTTTATAAGAAAGATGTTTAGACTGATAATGGCAGACCCATGTCAAGGTGCATGCCCAGCATTTGATTGAGGTACCCAGGAAATCCAGTGCTGCAGAATTTTTGCTGAATGCTGGATTGGATGATTGTTGCATTGCCTGTGAAGATCTTGGTAGACTTGTTTTGTACTTAGGTAAGTTCTCCATGGGCAAAGTCCAATGCTTGACCACAGCCCTGAAGGTGTAAACCCAGACCCCTGCGCCCCCCCCTCCCTGGATCTGTGTTTTGCGGATTTCATTTTTCCCCACCTGCCAGGTGAGGGTTGTTAGATTTTATGTCAGTTGCCTGCTCCTCTCCTCTCCTCTCCTCTCCTCTCCTCTCCTCTCCTCTCCTCTCCTCCTCCTCCTGCTCAACCGCGATCCACGCTCTGTGTGCCCTGCCGGACCTCAACCACGACCATCCACGCCCAGTGTGCCCTGCCGGACCTCAACACGACCATCCACGCCCAGTGTTCCCTGCCGGACCTCAACCGCGAGTATCCACGCCAAGTGTTCCCTGCCGGACCTCAACCTGGGACCTTCCCAGCTCAGTGTGCACCGCTGGACCTCAACCTGGGACCTTCCCAGCTCAGTGTGCAACGCTGGACCTCAACGGCCAGATAGAATGCCAGAAGATATGCCAGATAGAGTGTCAGAAGATATGCCAGATAGAATGCCAGAAGATATGCCAGATAGAATGTCAGATAGAGTGCCAGAAGATATGCCAGATAGAATGCCAGAAGGTATGCCAGATAGAATGCCAGATAAAATGTCAGATAGAATGCCAGAAGATATGCCAGATAAAGTGCCAGAATGTTTGCCAGATAGAATGCCAGAAGATTTTCCAGATAATATGCCAGAAGATATGCCAGAAGATATGCCAGATAGAATGCCAGAAAAATTGCCAGAAGATATGCCAGAACATATGCCAGAAGATATGCCAGGTAGAATGCCAGAAGATATGCCAGATAGAATGCCAGAAGATATGCCAGATAGAATGCCAGCCGGAAGATTTTCCAGATAATATGCCAGAAGATATGCCAGATAGAATGCCGGAAGATATGCCAGAACATATGCCAGGTAGAATGCCAGAAGATATGCCAGATAGCATGCCAGATAGAATGCCAGAAGGTATGCCAGATAAAGTGCCAGAATGTCTGCCAGATAGAATGCCAGAAGATTTGCCAGATAATGCCAGAAGATATGCCAGATAGAATGCCAGAAGATATGCCAGAAGATATGCCAGAACATATGCCAGAAGATATGCCAGATAGAATGCCAGAAGATATGCCAGATAGAATGCCAGAAGATATGCCAGATAGAATGCCAGAAGGTATGCCAGATAGAATGCCAGATAAAATGTCAGATAGAATGCGAGAAGATTTGCCAGTAACAAAATGTATAAAACTCATGGTGAGGATCACACGAAGTAAAGTAATTTTTTGTGAGTGGTTATTTGCGGCTTACAGCAGTTCCGTTTGTATTATAACCGCAATCTTTTACAGCAGCTCCTTTGGAAGCGATGCTAGGTGCTTAAATTACGAAGGTTGTAAGATTAAAGAAAACAACCAACTGCTTACCACCTGCTGTGCCCTCCAAAGCCGTTTCAGGAGGCCGAAACCACTGCAAATAGCGATGTTTTTAACTTCACGTGGCCCAAAACACAGCTATTTACATTGTTTTTGAACCCAGCGTGAAAAAACAATGCTATTTGCGAGGTTTTTACCAACATCAACATGGTGGCCGAAAACACTGAAATTTACGTGTTTTTTAGTTTTTTGTTTTGGGCAACGCCCTCGACATAACACATTTTACAAAAAACACCGTAAATACCAATGTTTCTGCCAGGCAAAAACTGCAAAAACCGTTGCCGAAGCAGCTCGAAAATCGCAAAAATCCGCGTCCGAGCCGCTCCAAATAAACCATAAAGAAAAAGAACATGTCTCAAGACCAAAAAAATGCTTCCCAAAATTGCACAAACTCGAGGTTTTTTCACTTCTTTCTTGCCGATCCCGGGCAAGCGCGCCCGCCAGGAGGTGAGGTTGTACTGTTTTTTACAGTGTTTTTTTGAAGTCCGTGGTCACGACCTATCAAAAACAGGAGGTTTTTTCCTTAAAAGTGCCCCTCCCCAGGTAAACCTGATACTTCAGTTGACTACACCACGCCCCTAGCACCTTTGGTGCGGGCGGATTTGTTGGCAGTGTATGTTTGAGGAATTTTGCAAATCAAGTGTCGTCAACGCTTGTCTGCAGGTTTCTCTCCAGTGTGGAACCGCCTCACGGATTGTGGGCGTCAAGCCGAAGCTCTGGCTCACTGCTACCATGACGCTTCCGCCTTTAACTTGGACAAAGATCTCATAGATGATGACATGGACACAACAGCTATCAACAGCTGGCAGTTCGGAAGAGGAAAATAATGTTTGCGAGCATCAAAGTCGTTTGCACACTCTCACACTAACCCAGTTTGCATTCAGTAGCTGCGGGTATGTTGCAATTTGTTTTCATGAAAGAATGGCCAGCAACTTCAGCCCAGACTCTGTCGGGTTCGGTTTCACAATCTGCCCACTGCCGCATCAGGGTAGCCAAGTTGATTTCATGTCAGGTGCATTGAACTGCTGCAGGTGTTTTTTGCTGCCCAGAGTTGACTTGAAATTGCAACGTAGTCATGACGGGTATCTTTCGACCAGTCGATACCCTTTCAGACTCCGATCTGGATGGCCCCAGCCCGAAGGCCATCCATGATGACTTTTTCGATGAAGATTGATCGATGTGTACACGCGGTAGTATAGGGACACATGTCGTGCAAAAAACAATTTTCTTTATCAAGTGTTTTCATTCACTTGCGCAGGCTGCGCCCAAGAAAGCACCCAGTAGAAAGGAAGCGCTTGTTCCAAAGGCAAAGACAAGCAGATCCCCAGCCGCGGCCGTCAAGGCCAAGTCAGGAGCAATGAAGAAGGTCAAGGAGAAGAAGCCTTTGAAACGCCCAAGCGCAGCCATAGAAGCCGTTGATTCCCCAAAAGTTGATGATGAGCAGGATGAGCCAGAGATGAAACGCCCTGCTGCAGCCAAGAGACAGGCAAAAAAAGGCTTGGTCGCTGTCATTTTTTGTTTCGAGTCAGCTATCGGACAGCTGTTTGACACCAATTGGCTGACAGACTGTGAGTTTCTGAGATTGTTCCGCTTTGCCTGCAGGCGACAAGTTGGAGTCTGGCGTGCACGTTGGCCCCATCTTTCCTTACCCTGCCACGCAGATGTTGGCGGTCAAGGTCCACATTGATGGCAAATCCAAGCAAGCTTTTCAGGCTGGGCTGTCAACTTGCATTTGGCACTTAGGGTTTTGGAATTCGATTGCTGCTTTGTGCAGGTGGGCGGCAAGCGGATGGATCCTGCAAAGGCTCAAGAGATCGCTGTCTAGAGCTCAGACTCCTTCCCTTGCTGCAAGCTATTGTCAACATTAGCCCACGGGCGCACTGACTATTAGGCCATTGGGCGTGCGGCGCTTCTCAAAGGAAAGACCCCCGCACAGGCCAAACATGTTGTGGTCCGACCCTCAGCGTGGGCCTGACCCAAAGTATTGCAATCAACCGTTTGTGATTGGAAAACCGAGGAGGAGCTGAAAGCAGCATATTTTGAAGCTGCTGGTGCTGCGCCTTCTGCTGCTGCCGGTGACAGAGCGGACACAGCTGCGGATGCCAAAGCTGATGGGCAGCCGTCAGGACCAACCTTTCTCGCATTGAATGACCTCTTGCATTCAATTCCCACATTTTATGTTTGATCTTTGTGATCTGATGCGACCTGATTTAGCAAGCAAGAAAGCCTTGAATCAAAAGTCTGTGGCTCCGAACTCGTTCCCACTGTGATTTGTGCCAAGCGGTGTCAGCGCGATGCCAATGGTAACGCCGCTGGACTTTGCCGATATGCAAGTCTTCCTGGTTCAGCTCATCCTCACACAGAGGAATCATTCGAAGGCTTCTATTGCCGAGGCCCATGAACTATTCGTGTGTCTGAAGCAGGTTCTGGAACTTATCCTGTGTAGTTGTGGCATCTCTGGCAACACTGAGCGTTTGTTGGCCCTGTTCCAAGCGCTGTTAAAGACTGAAAAGATCACCTACAGCAACGGAGTGTATCGATTTCCAAGGACTGCTTTCGATTTGCCCAGGATCACAGTGCCAGTAGTACCTACTGATCCTTCCCCGCTGTATACAATTATTTGGACCGATGATTCGAATCTGGCACGGACGTTGATGCCTACAGCCTTAGAGGCAATGGAAATATTGTGTGAGAAAAACTAAGAAAAGAGGGCCGCGGAATTTCTCAGAGATTGCCTTTTTGAGTTGAAAACCTTGGAGTTCATGTTTTCTTTATCCCGAGATGTCTGTCCACACTCAGCCGCAGCCATTGACGGGATGTAGCCAGACTCTGGCTGCCAGAGCTTCGCGCTGTCAATGGAAAAAGTGGAGTGGATAATTGCCCCACCTTTCACACCAGACTGTTAGCTTGCATTGAAGCAGTTGATGCTGATGCCCCAGCTGATCAATTTTTGGCCGCAGGACTTGCTACCGCCGCAAAGACTGAGCCGCCGCCTGTAGAACAGGCTGCCAGCACAGAGCAGAAGGCCGCTCAGGAACAGGGCGAAGAAGAGGCGCCTGAAACTGACCAGGTCCTAGAGTTTGCTGCTGCGGGCAGTATCAACGGCCAAGCAGAGGATGTCGAGTAGATCGTAGGAGTTTGACATGACAGCTGGCTGGAGCAAAAGGTGAATGGCGCGCATAGATGCGCATAGGGTCAGTCTTTTGATTCTGGAGCTGACAGTAGGTTGCACAGAAGGGCACAGATTGCTTTTAAGTTTATTGATGATCGGTTTGAATAGTGTTATAAGAATCTCATAGCCACAGACTGAGGTATGAAAAAAAGATA